TATTAAAACTGGCAGGAATATGTGGATTCTGTAACGTTAATAATGTACGTAACATCAAACTAACTTGTGAGTGACATGAAGCCATAAAATTGAAGTACAAAAAACTCGCATGCCATCTCAAAGTTGTCGTTAAGAGTTCCAAGCACTGTACATGACACATGAATGGTAAGCGATGACGTAACGTGCTGACTGCGCGTTCTGATAAAGCCAACTCCATAAGCACGGATAGGATGAATCACGGCAGTCAAGGACAAACAGAGATAATTCCTCTCAGCTGATAGGTATAATCCGTGGACCCGCTAGAAGACCACACTTTTCTCGGGCCATTATCTCCGTAACCGTTCAACTTTGGACATAGGTGTTTTGGGTTATATCGGCATACTTTAACATAAGGAACACCCTCCCGAAGTTTGGCACATTCCTCCTGGGACACCCTGTATAAATAATAAGGAGGTGGTTTGTTCAGTGGATGTAAAATTTTTGGGTATTTGCATTACTGAAGATTTAAGTTGGGCAACCCACACCCAATATGTGTGTCAAAAACTTAGCAAGACTACCTACTTGATAAAATCCCTATGGAACTCAGTGAGCCAAACTGTTTTAAGAAGTGTGTATCTTGCAAAATTTGAGTCCATGTTGAAATATGGTATTATTTTTTGGGGTGGGGTGCAAAAGGACTCTGAAACTCTACTTAAACTGCAGAAAAAATGTGTAAGGGTGATAAAAGGTGTTAAAAATAGAGTTTTCTGTAAATATTTATTTCGTGAATTAAAGATTTTAACTGTTACTTCCTTATATATTTTTGGGATCCTATGTTTTATAATAAAAAATAAGATTTATACCGCCCAGTATTCTGATATTCATGGCTATAACACTATTCATAAACACAATTTGTATATACAATTTTGTAATACTGAGTGTAGCAAGAGAGGGGTGATTAGTATGGGAACCAAAATATTTAATGGCCTTCTAACTGAATTAAAGAATGTAATAAATTTTAATGTTTTTAAGAAGAAACTGAAGAATTATTTGTTGTGTAATGTCTTCTATTCTCTTCAAGAATTTTTTAATAATTGTTGACACAGACTGCTTGTTGATAAATCTGTCTGTATATTTTTATGCCATTTTTGGAGTATTTATTATTATTAATTGTTGATGTAAAATGCTTGTTAATAAATCTGTCTATATGTTTAAAATATTTATTTTTATGTATTTTTGGAGTATTTATTATTCTTAAATNTACAACCTCAAGCTGACGTCTCCCATCTTCGGGATGAATTAACAAGGAGGAGTTCAGCATTTTATATCAAATATTTTAACACTGTAGCGTTTTAACTTAAAAATAGGTTTGGATGAAAAGTGAGAACTTGAGAGTGTACTCAACTATCTTAGCATGTTTTGTGCTTTTACACGTCAACATATTGTAGCACCGTCCACACGACAAACATAATTGTGAACATAAAAAAAAAAGCGACAGTGTTTCCATAAGTATAGCAAGTGCCTCTGATGATGGTTGTGTCAAACCGAAACATGGAAGGCAGAAATAATAATAAAAAGTGACCTACAAATTGTTACACTCGACGGACTTTCTATTAACTTTGAACTTGGTGAAATGTCTATTTTGTATACTATGTATTGTAGCATATAAGTGTACGTACTTTACGTCTAAACAACTTATGTGGTGGTGGTTTCCTATTTGTAGTGATGTTTGCCCTCTGAAGATGGTCCACAGAGACCGAAACATGTAAGGGTGTTAAGTTTTCATGTAGTAAAAAAACTTACAGGTCACATTGGACGGAGTGATTTATATTTGTAATTGTTAGTGTGACGGACCAGAATGAAACAAATCAAACTATTGCTTTATTATAATGATGAATCACTGTGTGAATGTTATGTTATTTTTCATGTGAGGTTGTTAATATTTGACATGTCCAATTGTAAATTCTCTACAGCTATGGATTAAATAAATAATAATAACAATAATAATGATATTAAAACAAAGGTGTTTTCTTCTAGAAATAATGGAACAGTTGACTAAAGTGTAGTTTACAAGACAAAAGAGTGCTTACACTATTCCATTGATAGGGAGTAACAGCTGTTGTTAAGGTTGCAGTAGGTGATAAAAATGTTGACCTTGCATTGCTACACAGGCTTCAGCCCAAAGATGCATGGTTTGATGGATGTATTGAAAAATGCCAGCAATGTTGTGAACCAAGGAACAGCTATTTTTAATGTGCTGCAGTAGTTTCTCTGTAGTACCCACTGTTTAAGCATATACCACATTTTTAGATGCCCCCAATGAAAATAATCAAGGAGATGAAGGTTTGATGAACAGCTTGGCCAGGTTATTGGTCTCTGCCATCAGTCATTTGACTGTGTCAACCATGATATACTTTTTAAAAAAATTGGAACACTACGGGATAGTAGGAACATTTAAAGCATTAATTACATCATACCTAAACAGTAGATATCAGAAAGTGGTATTAGATAACAAGAAAACTCATAATAGTACCTCCTCCAAGTGGGAGATCATAAAGCATGGTGTTTCGCAAGGCTCTATCCTTGGTCCATTATTTTTCCTGTTGCATGTAAATGAGCTTCCTAACGTAATAACTAACAATGCAAAAATCATCCTATATGCTGACGACACAAGCGTCATAATGTCTAATCCTAGCCTTCTGGAATTTGAAACTAATATGAATAAACAATTTGTAGCCATAAATGAATGGTTTAAAGCCAATTTGTTATCTTTAAGTTTCAAAAAAACTCATTACCTTTTATTCAGGACAAAGAATAGTTTAGAAACTAATATCAGTATATGCTGCGGAAACAAGCATATTACTAACATGTCAAATATTAAATTTTTTGGTTTACACATCAATGAAACATTATCATGTAAACTTCATATTGACCAATTAGTAACTAAAATGAGTTCAGCTTGTTATGCTGTTAAGACAGCAAAAGGTTTTATATCACAAGAAATCCTTAAGATGATTTATTTCTCCTATATGCATTCTATTATGGAATACGGTATAATTTTCTAGGGTAATATGTCTAACAGTATCTATGTCTTTAGGATAAAAAAGTGGATAATTAGAGTTATGAATGCAAAAACTAGAGACTCCTGTAGGAATCTATTTAAAAAATGAAATATATTGCCAATGTATTCACAATATATATAGTCATTAATACTGTTTGTCGTAAAAAATAAAGACCTGTACAAATGAAATCATGAGATTCATAGCTTCAGTACTAGACATAGCACAAACTTGCACCTTCCTACATCACGTTTGACAGTTTTCCAAAAAGGACCCTACTACTCTGGTATCAGAGCTTATAATCACGTTCCACCTCATATAAAAAGTCTTAGTAATGAAATGAAACTATTCAAACCGATGCTAAAAAGGTTTCTTCTTTCCAATTCATTTTATTCCTTGGATGAATATTTTAACTGTAAAGTAAACTAAACACCTGGGTTATACTCCGTACTAAGTAAAATTTTTTATGATACTTATAATCTGCTCATATATATTCATCACATCTTAGTACTATCAGTACATTAGTTTTAACATTTTAAACATATAGCTGTCATACAATGTACACAAGTTGTTCCATCTGTGTCCTGCGTATTAAGTGTGCAGGCATCTATGACTTGTTTGTAGTCTGGGTATTGTTTGTAAGTAATAATTGATGTAATGTCCTAATAAATAATCTGCTTTTAGATATTAGACCAATGTTTGAGATACTGTATTGTGGAGATGAATTATTGATGTATTTATATTCATATCTTGTTAATGTGATACAACTTGTATGGTTTTGTCTGTGACTAATTCCACATCTACTGGTCATTGTTGTACCACAAAGGATCAATATAAATTGAATTGAATTGAATTATCCATTGCCCATTGTAGGCTGTCCCAGGGTAATTTCTGGTGGTGTTACTGAAATGGGCTGCATGCATGAACCTCATGTTTCATCAAATATCCAGTGGGACATTCTCCAGTATTCCATATTGAGGGGGTGGGTTTCCCTATGCACTTAGACCAGTTATTGGTCCATTGTGCATCCCCCTTTTAATTTCTACTGTCTCCATACCCTACCTGTACTGGTGCTCGCTATTAGCCCCTTTCTGCCAGCGAGGTTCCAACCTTCTACTGGCAGTGGTATCTAATAGTTAGTCCCTTTCTGTCAGAGAGGTCCCCCCTCCTCTGGCAGTGGTACCTAATACTTCCCCATCTACCGGAGACATTGGAAACTACTTTGGGTGGGAAACATTTTGCCAAATTTAGCTCAGAGGTCTCCTAGAGACATGAGGTTCTTTTACGTGCCGTAAATCTACGACACGGGACCCACGGCTTAAAGTCCCTCCCGGAGGACTTGTTCCCTGAATTTTTCTGCCCTTAAAAATTCCACAACCTCCGCCGGGTTTGAACCCGCGTACCTTGAGTAATGAGGTGGGAACATTACCCCTAGACTACAGAGGCTGCTACATTCTCCAGTAAGTCTGGCAAAATGTGCTCAAAAGCAGTGCTGCAGAGGGATGACACTGACCAATACATAAGTGGTGCCCCAGTGTAGGACTTTCATTAACATATGACATGGTGTTATTCAAAAATAAAAACTCAGGTGTTGACAATGGCTTAAGAAATTGAGTATGTTAATAATATTCACTGTTGCAGACTTTATTTTACTTTCCCTCACCCCAGTAAATGTAGTATGTAGAATGTGAGGTTCTAACAGCAGTAGTTATGAAGTGTTCTCTCTGTAATATAACACCATGTAGTTTGGTAAAACTCAACTGACATTTCAGAGGAACATGTCACCTACATCTTCAAGCAAGTAAGACAAGCATGAAACCAACATGGAGCAAGCACTGGACTACACGGTGTTATAGTCCAGAAGATATGACTCTTAATATGCTCTAGTATTTCTTAAGCTTTGTTCAAACATTATATATACTTACATCATGTAAAGATTCCTAACTTTTACCATGTTTGCAGAGCAGTAAATGCTGGGAAGTCTCTCAGGAATGAAGATCAAGCCTGTTTGAGAAGGGCTATGCTGGAACGTCCAGAATCAAGAGAGAGGAACATGAGAGGTATTAGACAAGACTTAAGAAAGATGCCATCATCTCCAGAATGTATGAATCCTGCAACATGCTTGCCTTATATTTATTTTGCACTGTTCGATGGCCATGCTGGAACAGGAGCAGCAGTAGCTGCTGCCAACCAGCTTCATCATATTCTTCATGTAAGTACATTTCGCATAACACTGTAGAAGAATTTCTGAGATTTTTTAGTTTCATAAGAACATTACTTATTTCTGTCAGTACATATCAGTGTTGTACTTCATTTATTCATTGGTGTTGTTCTTGAGTGTTCATAGCATATAAGATTTCTAAATTTACCCATCCCAAACTATAAAGGGCACATCTCAGTGCCTGTCACTTTTCCAACCATCAGTATGAGTTAGCCTTAATCTGTGGTGGGAGCATAATTAAATTTTATTGAAGTGATTGCATGTTGTAAATATAAGGTTATTATTCTTAAAATCTCTACAAACCATTTTAAAACCCAAAAGTCATAATTAGGATTGGACAGGATGCTTGTGGAGCCTGAAAAATACGAGGGTCGTACTGAAAATCATGAGCAACAATTTTTTGTAAAGTAACATGCTTTATTATTGACAAACCAGATACACCACCTCATTCTACAGACCTTTCTATATTTTGTCACATAATCGCCACTTCTTTGTACACATTTCTCCCAGCATTCTGGAACTTTGAAAATTCCCCTTCTGTAAAATTCCATTTCAGCCATCCGAAGACACTGACACACTTCTTTCTGAATTGCCTCCCTTGTCTCAAGACATTCACACAGCTGATCCTTCACAAATCCGAAAAGATGGTAGTTGGAGGGTGCCAGATCAGGGCTATAGGAGGGGTGTGGAAGAACATCCCACACCATCTTTGCAATTCCTTCCAATGTGAGGTGAGCAGCATAGGGGCAAGCATTGTCATGCAGGATGATGATGTTTTGTCCCGGACGTTTATCGCGCAATGCACGACAGAGCTTGTGCAGTGTCTGGACATAATGAGCAGCATTGATGGTTTGCCCAGGTTCCAGGAATTTGGCCAGAATAAACCCCTCTGCATCCCAGAAGACTGTGCCCATCACCTTCGCAGCTGATGGCACTGTCTTTGCCGTCTTTTTTGATGGAGAATGCAAGTGGTGCCATTCCATACTCTGCTGTTTCATTTCAGACTTGAAATGGTGAAACCAGCTTTCATCACCTGTACACAATACAGAGTAAAAAATCATTGCCTTCATGTCAATATCTCTGCAGCAGTTCTGAGGTGATGGCTTTTCGCTGACCTTTGTGGTCTTCGGTCGATAACCGCGGGAACCAGCGAGCACAAACTTTCCTTTAGCCCAAGCTTTCGATCATCTCCTGTACTGCACTGTGACCTATTCCAAGTTTTCAGGCTCTTGTGTCCACAGTCACATGCCTGTCGTCTTCAATGATCTCATCCACTCTTTCCTTGTTGCGTTCAGTTGAGGCTGTTCGAGGACGACCGCTCCGAGGCTCATCTTCAATGCTGGTGTTCCCATCTTTAAAATGTTTTACCCATCTTTGAAGACTGCTCGCACCCATGCACACACTTCCATAAGCACGCTGAAGTCTGGTGAATTTCTGCAGCAGGGATTTCCTCTTTCACAAGAAATTCGATGACAGCACGCTGGCGAGACGACATATGGTTGTCAGCCATTTTGTTAGGAGTGATACTGGTCACATGATGCAAGTTATTGACGTCACAAGACACTCAAGGTTAACACAACAACTGGTCCCACCTACCACCATACTCTCTTTCGTTTGCTGTTCCCAGTTTTCATGCAAAAAAAAGTTGCTCGTGACTTTCGGTAAAACCTACATACGTTACTGTGGTGGGAAATGGCCAGACCTTTCTAAAAGCTGATCTACCTCTTTCAAGTTTTCACCATTCGAGGAAGCTGAAGTGGCACGGAACGCATATCCCACTATCTTCATTGGTTGCATCCTGTTGTGTGTTTCAGATATATATATATATAGGAATTATGTCTACTGTCAGCACAAGTACTCAGTTTTAATTTCCGTCTTTATTGCTGCTACATGTTTCAGTCGTATAAGACCATCATCAGGCAGTTATACACAGGAATACGTATAGTCATTGAAATACCAATATGGATCCCTATTGGTGCAACGCGTCGTATTATATACTAATATAAAACTTTTGCCCCTAGTTGGTGTTATAATTAAAGTAGCAAATACATAAATAAAATGAAAGATAAAGATAAGGTATACCATATATCAAATTTATAATATGTTGAATATATTATTAAAAAAATATTAAAAGTATATTAAAAATGTTAAAAAAGATATTAAAAGATTTCCGATGGTAAGTTAAGAATGTATGCCAACTTAAATGTTTAAGCTTTCATTGCTATAGTGTATAACTATAATAATTATTGTAGAATTTGAGATTCATACAGCTATGAGTATGAAGAGTCCTATCTTCTGGGATGTAACACTGTGTAGTCCATTGAAAGTCAACCAGCGTTTTGGAGGGACATTGGTTGACTTTTATTGGAATACATGGTATTATATCCCAGAAGGTAGGGCTCTTTGTTATAATTGTCACTGGGAAAATGAATTAATATAATATGCAGTACAGTGGTGTCCAGTTCAGTTCAGCAAAATGTAAGATAAAATTAACAGACTATCCACTCTTCATCTTTTGTTCCAGTTGTGATTTGAAAAATTATTTGTAAAATCTGGTATATGTATATTAGCCACAGCTCATTCTAATTTGAACCATTTCAGTTTAAAAATTTTGTCAGTTTGAGCATCAGGAAGGACACTTTTACCTCTTAATGTTATGTTTTTGTTTTAAAGTTGAATACTAAATTTCACTGTAAATGTAGTAAATATTTCCATTATAAATGATATTAGGCTAAAAATTAAGTGTTTATAATTACAGCAGTTTGATTACAAGATAAGGTAAAGAAATTATATTGCATATATTGCTGACAAAGTTTTGTTAAGAGTTCACAGTATTTTAGTAATTCATATTTATAATTACAAAATCTGAAACAAAGTGGAAATATTAACATCATTTGCTTTTGCATGTGTCAGATGTCCTGAATTTTGAATACTAAATGTGATCTCAGGTCAGTGTTTTGTGATTGATGATGAATGTTCAGGGACTGTGTCTAGATTCAGTTGATTTGAAGTTTCCTGAGGGCAACAACAGATGTAGCTTCAAATCGTGGCTAGACCACAAATTTCCACTCATTCAAAATAAAAATTCAGTATAAAAAAATCTCAGATGATGACATAAAATTAATTTTTTACTTATTCATGGCATTCTAGTACAACTTGCAAAAGCAAATGGAAGTATATAATTATGTATGAACTCCTTGGTTTTGTAAAGTGTAGAGTTTATAAACATGTAACATAAAAGTATTTTGATATGCAGGAGAAATTGGTGGATGTGATTGATCATTTGTTGCCACCATTAGACGGTTACATGCAGCTGGAGGCATCAACAAAACATGGAACTACATTCTTCATTCCAGAAAAGGCAGTGGATAATGAGGCACTTATAACAGGTGCTTTGGAATCAGCATTTTGGGATATGGTAATTCTGAAATGTTCCTAAAAATTGTATGTGCATCTCTCTCATGCACACACACTCACTCTCACGTGCACTCACTCACTCTCACTATTCAGTTTACTCTAGATATTCAAATTTAATTATAACCAATGGGGCCCACACAGCTAACAGTCAAAATAATAAAAGAAAGTTGTAAATAAAGACAAAGTTGTTCCTGTGCCTAATTAATTAAGCACTGTGCAATAAAGCCGTATGTGAAAGTGGAGGTATAGCTCCACAATTCTTGACCTCAGCCCTAGATGGAAGTGAGTGGTCAGCTTCATGCCCCTGCCACTTTATCCCCAAGCAAAGAGCCTCCAGTACCCATTGGATAGGAGGCTGGGTGGGCCCCAGAGCCAGTCTTGTTGCTGTGAAGAGAAAAATCTTACACTGCTGGTAATTGAACCTGGGCCATCCAGCCCATAGTCTGTTGCTATACCAACTGAGCTATCCAAACTCCCGAAGTTGTAAGTAATAGCAGCAATATAATGAAGAGTATATACTTAGAGGGGGGGGGGGTTGTCTTAGTGAAGCTAAGGACACATGTTTCTCAGTACTGTACACCATATACTCAGTGTCAGTTTGCTACGAGAAAAAGACAGTGATTTATTCATTTTTGTGATATCTTTGTGATTCACCAGAAGAGCATGTGGCAATTATACTTGCACTGAACTAGTCTTAGCCAGCTTATTTTCCAAGTAAGTTCACAGCGTCATAAACTAAAGACCCTGTGTGATGAGATATTTGTTACCCAGTCTCGTTTTAAGCAACACTTTCATTCTCACCTGTATTTTCATTGTCCAAAGTCCTGGAACAAAACTGCAAGGTAGCCCTAGCTGTGAACTAATATATGAATGTCACAGAGCTTTGATATCTCTTTTTGAACTGTTGCAGGACCAGTTAATTGGAGAAGACAAACAGAAGTACAAGGTTAAAGGCGGCTGCACAGCATTGGTTGCATTGTTCATTCTTGGAAAATTGTACATTGCTAATGCTGGAGACTCACGAGCAGTACTGTGCAAAAGCAGATGTCCCATTCCAATGTCAAATGATTTTACACCAGAAAGTGAAAGGCAGAGAGTTCGACAGCTGGTAAGTCTTTCTTTGAAGTTCTTTGACATCTCTTGAATGAAACCAGTAAATTGAATTTCTTAACAAATTGTTTAAGTTATATTCAGAAAACATAAGCTTAAGTTTGAATACTTTCCAATTGGACAGACTCAACACAGTTCAGCATACTGTTATGACATATCTACAAGCCATAACTTTTTTTTAAATTGTCAATACTTTGACAAGTACTGTTTACTAACATTATTATTATTATTAGAAATAACTATAGGAACAATAATAATTCAGTCCAGTCCTTTATTTATTTATGTGTATACTGAACCCAAAAGTCACTTATAGAGTAAGCACAAATAAAAGAAGGAAACAAAAACACACACAAACAGACAAAACAATGCAACTTGTGTCATTTGGATGATAATAAAAAATAATAATAATAATAATGCCAACCATTATTCACTAGGAAACAAAATATATATACACATATTCATACTGAATACAATTAATATTTTAATAAGAAAGTACCACCATAAAATATGATTAGGAGAAACAGTTTTGCTTCTAAATACATCATCGTCCCTACCAACAGCATCAGTGACTGCATCACGGCTAGCGGATACTGATATGCATGAGGATGACCTGTTTGCAGGTAATTATCAGATTTTGATTAGCAAAGAATATGGCAAAATCATTGATCAAAATATTTCACTGTTGCAGATTAGTGCAGTATGTTACATATTACCTATTAGTACAATTTTCAGGCTGCACTTCAACCAGAACTTCTTGGTGAGGAATTCACCCATCTGTATTACAACAGAAGGCCAAGCCAAAGAGATCTGGGAAAGAGGATTTTATATAGAGATGCCCACATGACAGGCTGGGCTTACAAGACTGTGACCCCTGAAGATCTGAAAATTCCTGTTGTATATGGTGAAGGGAAGAGGGTGAGGATTTTAATTCTACTTAATACCTAGTTGTTGCAGTTGTATGAACATGCTCAAATTCAAAGTAACCATGGGATTCACTGCATTTTTATGACTTGTTTTCCTTATGACTGGACTTAATTAATATAAATTCACAAACAAGAAATGAATGGAGAACATTAAGTATTAATTTAAATGTATTTTTTTGTCTGTCTGTCGATCTGCCTTCAAGAGACAATGTGCTTTCCCTCAGAATGAAAGAAACTCAATAATTATGTGATTAAAACAGATTATTTCTGTACCAGTGTGGTATACATATGTTCTTTAACATTGTAAGTTAACCTGTCTAAAGATAATTCAACTCTCTTTGTAAATTGAATATTACATTCAGTGGCTGCTCATTCCCCCCCCCCCTTGGCATGCAAGTAATTTCTGCACAATGTTAAATATGTATCTGTATTACAATGACAGTGAAGAAGGTGGCGTTACAAAGTTTATCACCTTTAGAAATTTTAACTGCCTCAAGATGTAGTAGGGAAGTATGAGACATTGAAGTACAATAACAGCTGAAACTCAGTGGTCATAATTTGAAATATGTGTGCATGTAAATGGAGTTTCAAAACTTCCATCCAGAGCATTCAGCATTGTGCTGGTATCAAAATTACCAAGTCAACAATTAGTAAACAAGATTCTCACACCAAATGTAATTGACATACTTGAGCCGTTTTTTATTTTCATATTTTTGCTTTGACTGTGGTTCATTTCAGAGTAGAGTTCTTGCCACTATAGGAGTAACCCGTGGATTTGGTGATCATGACTTGAAAGCTCTGAATTCTAATATAGCTATCAAACCATTCCTGCTTTCCCAGCCAGAAGTAAGTACTGTTATTATGTAAAACCTGTAAGTTTTGTATTAGAATGTTACTATTTATATATAAATATGGAGGCATTTCAGGAAATGCCTCCATGTATGTATATATTAAACAAAAGAAGTGCTTCATGACTGTAACACTCAGTTTTGTTCTGTATGACGTGTTCCAAAGAATGGCTGTAACTTTGATCAGTTAATGGCTGTTTTCATTCAGCCAGCAGAAATGCAAATAAATCCATGTGTTGGAGGCTTTAGATATGGACAGTTGTCTTAATTTTTGTTTTCAATATGAAAGTGTTAAATATTGATACCCTATAAGAATGTTTGGTGTAGTCTGATACACAGTAAAATTTGAGTAATGGAATATGACCATCTGAACAGATAGGGGAGGACAAAATTTACAACCCCCCCCCTACACACACATATGCGCCTACCTATATTTAAACAAGAAGAAGAAGATTTTCTTCTTCTTTTGAGAGTTTAAATTCTGTAATACATGGTACCTTTCATTTAGAGACTTTGGATTTGTTTTGTGTTGGCAAGAAAATTTTAAACAAGGGATCTGCCTTCCATTCCCTGTGATCTATAGCTAAACACCTTACTCTTGTAGAAATACTATCTCCCCTTTGGTAAGGGAGGTTTGGAACCACTCAAGACTCATGTATTCTGTCTGCTTCCCATTGGTTGATCATGCAAATGGATGGACAGACTGATGCTAATAGGTGCTTCAGCAAGGATGCATGTGAGCCTCAAAATGCACTGTTTCTATCACATAAGTTCATCACTTTTTCATTCACCCCTATTCATGTACAGCAGCTGTTCAATATAACCACTAAAATTGTTGTCATTGTCCTACGCTGTGCTGTGTCTGTAATTTGCTTGCGGCTGTTGGCTCAGCACATAAATATTAAAGAATTCAATTGAATTGAATTATTTTCTGCCACTGTAATATCACCCTTGAAATTATTACTAAACAGCCTGGGCCTGCATTTACACTGTTAAGCCCAACAGTTTCATCTTTAGGCTTACTGTTAATACAGTGTATGTAAAGTATTCGGATGAAGTGGAATTATGGTGCTTATCATGGTACAGTGGTAGTTTACTGCATGACTGAAGGGAATGGGGCAGGGAATTTCCATGCCTGCAACGCTGATTTTCTCTACTTAAACAGAACTTAATTACAGGTCACTGTAACTGGGTGATATTTACAGTGTTTTATAAGAACTGCTACTAGGTTGCTTGACTAGTCTTTCATTCCTATACCCAGCTCTGAAAATGGATTTGTATTTCACCACTACTATGGACTTTGATCAAGTCTTTTCCTTACTTTATCACAGTCATGCATAGTTCACCATCTTCTGTGTACCAGCCTCCACAGTTTTAAATCAAGCAAGTTCAAATGTGTGACAATGTGTCTTTTGTGTATAAAGACCTCAGTTGTAGCCTGGTTCATCCCTTGGTTGGGAGTTGGGACATTGATTATTGTGACTGAGGTGTTTTCTTAAGTTCCTCCAAGTGAACTCTAGCTTAGTATTTTAACTCTTGACTGCTGACCCCTGCTGTAGAACTAGCTGCCAGGAATGTCTGATGTCAGTGCTGTTTGGGGGGTAAATGCGGTTGCCAGAGAACCCTACATTACTTACCTCAAATGATTCTCAAACAATAGAAGTATATCGTGTAAAAGCCCATTCTTTCCTCTAAATATGTACGCTTCATGCCACATATTGTGAGAAATGGCATACTAATTGATTAGCAACAAGCCAGTCTCATTGGCTGTGGAGGTCTTAATGCTGGTTACCCCCCCCTCCTCCAAGTCTGGTTGTTACATAGTGTGCAAATGGTTAAATTAGCCCATAACCACTTCCTTCCATATCCTTTCCAATTTGTTATGCACCACCTCCATATCATTCAATGCTGTATAGCCTGAATTACTTACAATTTGGTCAAGTACATTGTAAATGAAAAAAACGTTTTCTGATTTTCCCCAGTTCTTCCATGCAAATGTTTCAGTAGTGTTTTGAGACTGGCAACAGCTAGTTCTCCTGTTACTCCTAAATCATTTTCATCATCCTCTCGTAGTTAATACAGTACAAATAATTACCTCTGAACTGAATCATTCATTGGATCACAACCAGAAAATAGAATTGACAGCATCTACTGCATCATTTCTATGTGAGTTGTATGGTTGGAATCAATCACTACACCTTGAGGATTGGGGGCTGCTAATTTCTCAGAAGTATTCACAAACCCGCTCACTACAACGTTTTATTAACCCCTCAGACCAGCATTTAAATCCTTACAAGTTTTAAGCTGCAGCAGTATTAAAAGGGCCCTGTAGCAGACACCTGTCACAGCATTTTTTATTACTTTGTGTTTTAGAAATTATTAAAGAGAATTTTATGAAATTTTCTGATGTTACAAATGGTGTAAGATTTCATGCTCCATATTTTCTTTGCAAGATATTACCTTGTTTACTGATATAAGTTGGCCGTGGTGCGGTAGATCTCAAAACAATCAACAAAGCACAGACTTATTCCACAATCCTTACACCTTACACTGTGTTCCATTGGGCTTGCATCAGATGGCACATTCTTTATGGGCTTGCCTTTTTTCTCAGACAGAGGACAAGGGGGTTCTAAAGTCTTCCTTCATGCTTCCAATAATTCTTTTCTTTTATTATTTGAAGATTTCTGTCTTATGCTGTGCTTGCTTCCTGCTTCTTGCTGGTATCCTGCTTGTTTTACTATTCAACATTGGAGATCTAGGGAACATGTTTCTCAAAAGTATGGTTGACATTCACTCAACCACATGGTATTATATGATAGAAGATAGAACTCTTCATAAACACTGCTTTGTGAACCTCAGAACCTTTTATTACTCCAAGTCTGAAAGCCAGATAGTCTAAATTTTTTTTAATTTTTGCTTTATCTGTGAAGAACAGAGACTCTTTGTATTCATATATTTGTTAGCCCCTTGAACAGTTTTGTGCACCATTTAGTGCTTCTCTTCCTTTCAGTTTTGTATGGTTGCAGTTTTTTATCTTTCAGATGCACTCTTTCCTTGAACAAACTGTATTACTCTTGTTTTATTTAGCTCTTTTTCTCTTCAATTTTGTCACAATGGTGTCACTGTGAAATGTGGAAATGAATGACATGGGCTTCTTATCCATCCACTTCATCATCACTGTCATTCCTTTACTCTGCACAGCAGTATTCAGTATTGAGGGGGTGGGTTTCCCCATGCACTTAGGCCAGTTATTGGTCCATTGTGTGTCCCCCTTTAATTCTACTGTCTCCATACCCTACTGGTACTGGTGCTCGCTATTAGTCCCTTTCTGCCAGCAAGGTTCCGATCCTCTACTGGCAGTGGTATCTAATAGTTAGTCCCTTTCTGTCAGAGAGGTCGCCCCTCCTCTGGCAGTGGTACCTAATACTTCCCCATCTACCGGAGGCATTGGAAACTACTTTGGGCTGGAAACTTTTTGGCCAAATTTAGCTCAGATGTCTCCTAGAGACATGAGGTTCTTTTACATGCCGTAAATCTACGACATGGGACCCACGGCTTAAAGTCCCTCCCAGAGGACTTGTTCCCTGAATTTTTCCGCCCTTAAAAATTCCACGACCTCTGCCGGGTTTGAACCCACGTACCTTGAGTCATGAGGTGGGTATGTTACCCCTAGACTACGGAGGCCGCTCTGCACAGCCGTATACTATTACACCCTGTTTCATTTTGCCTCTTTTACAACCAGAACTTTTTACCTGTTCAGCCACAGTGACCCAGCTACATTTACATTATTTGTTTTTATAAGGAAACAGAGCTGGTGATTGCAGAAATTATCCATCCATAATGTGTGTCATCTGCTGAAAAATGGTTCCACCAATTTTGCAACAATCTTGCTTGTTTTGAGACTATCAGTTGTGATTCCACTATATATAACACATGTTCTCAGATGTGAGCATACCAGTTTCTTTCAGGGGCACACAGTAGCATAGTTGGTTCAGACACTGTGATACAAGCTGGAAGGTCGCAGGTTTGACTCCCAATGAGGTCATTGGATTTTTCAAGTTACCTAATCCTTCCAGCGGCACTATGGCCATGGGGTCAAGTCAGCCTCTAACAGAAATGAATACCAGGAATCTTCCTGGGATAAAGTGTGGCCAGCACATATGGCTGACAACCCTCACCATCACCTGTGAGCTGACTGGCTATAAAATGTGTGAGCCTCAATATCTCACACCCCTATGGGCCTCCACTGCCTGTTACAGGAATAGCTTTTACCAGTTTCTTTCAGTAGCTGTAGAGACCATTACTGAATCATCAAAGTATAGCTTTCAAGCCTTGAACACACTTCTGACAGACTTTATGGAACAAGTGTTTTCAGAAAACTGAATTTTACTAGAACAGTAAGAATCATCAATATTTTCCCATTGTCACTCTCTTTGCTATTCCAATCTAGGCCTCTTTTTTCTTATATCACCCATGAATTCTTCATTTCCTCATTTTTGAGTTTATCACAGTAGAAACACACCCACTGGATTCAGAAACTTTTCCTTGACTTCCACTATTGTAATTACACACTTCATCATCACTATCATTAACCTGTTCCAAATTTTCAATATATTGCTTGTCTCCAGGCCATACAATGTACTAGACAGAACATTTTTAAAACCACTAAATAGCTGGTTCAGAGGTTGTAAAACATTTCATGTAGTTCTTGTGATCCTTCAGATAAGGAATGAAACATACATTGAAGGCTACAGTTTCTTTTTTAGATATAATGCTTCTCTTAGTTTAATCCTCCTTGGAGAGATGACAGATCAGTGACAGTTTTTCCTTGCAATTGCAAGAAGCAAGGGCATACTTGGAGTGCTGCCAGTTGCATAGTTTAAAGGCTGGCAAGTACCCAGTTGGGTTGTTGGTTTGAGGGCTTAATTGGGAATGAAAACATTGAGTTTCAAAGATCTGCAATGAAATCTGAATGATGCTAATTTTGCAGGGCTGAAT